GGGAAAAAATTCAGATGGAAATTCCATCATTCACGTTTTGGATTTTGGGGATTTTCAAAATCCAAAACCCGCTTTTTCGCCTTGATTTTTCCAGTGACAATAGATTGTTGTTAAGCTAAAGACAGGTGGTCTCGAATTAATCAGCAATATCTATTTCTTTCTTCCTTCCTTCAATATGTAATATTTAATTTTAATATGAATTATTGAAAATAATTTTTGCTGTTGCTGTGCTAGCCGTATTTTAAGTAAAAAAGAAATATAATAAACTATATTGTCATGCTTGCTTCAAGTGAACACATACGTATGCAACTCAATATTAACTTAAAACTATCAATTTCTAAAATTTACTGAATCTGAAAAGGTCATTTAGATTACGCCTTTTTCTCCTCTTTCTACAGTCATCATTAAAAAATATCAAATTTCTCCCGTCTATGTTATATAATGATGATTTAGAACCCTGTCATGTTCCAAAATATTGATCAAAGCAGGAATGATATTCATTAAAGTTTCTTCTTTTGAGGCTATCGATGCTCATGTTCAATTCAACAGTAACGAAAATCTAAAATCAAACGTATGCAAAATTACTTTGGAATTCGAAGAAAACGTTGAGTGTAGCGTTTTATTTTGTGCGTTGATAAAGACAAGTTCTGAATTCATACCAACATGTCAACCGCTAATGAAACTTTGTTCACAAATTTTTTTCATAGGGTATCGATTTTTCGATGATCTACTGAATAGTTTCATTATTCCATTAGAGAAAATACACCATAAATCAACAACATATTATTGTTCACTTCATTCATGTCTTTGTACAAGTTATTTGTCTGATTGAAGAATCCACTGAAACAAACGCAGTGATAAATGTCTCTCCGGCCCTATTACGTAATTACCAAAAAATTAATGAATTAGACGAATACCCATCAATACTAAATGAAAATAGCTAAGATATTCATACTGAAGATTGTCGATCATGATCTCTGTGCGAGTACGCTTCAATATGTTTTCTATGTATAAAATCTCTGGAGAGATGACTTCTGCTTGTTGTTTTCTTTTACTCTTTCATTTCATCGACTATATCATACCTTGGATAATGATAATGGCGAAACACAAGACCACAAATAAAACATATACAGATACATCTATATGTGTATGCATGCTTGAATATTTTCTCAATTAAAGCTACCGTCATAATCTATTCTCAGGTGATTAGAATTTTCTTTTTTTTCTTCTGTCTTGGTATATCCATCATCATCCAATTTTAACATCTTGTGTGACAACTTCATTATATTATTACATTGATACAAACTCACACACACACACACACCAAATGTCATCAGCAAAAAAAATATATACTTGAGTCTTATAGCGAACAAAATACAAAGTCATTAGACGCAAATGAAGCATAGTCGGCCTAACACATAAAATTGATGATGTGTCAAAAAAATAAAATATTCTGTCTTTTTTTTTTACCAATAAACCTGCTGCTGCTGTTGTCCGTGAAAATCATTAAAAAATGTTAATTTTTGAACAAGATCTAAATCAGTTGAATAGAGCAGATGTTGCAATGTACAATTAACTTCCGATGGTGACGACGCGGATGATGTTGTATAACTTGTATTCGTATTTGTATCGTTTGCAAGAAGATTATCAATAAAAAATGAACTTTTGATTGGCTGCGATTTGATCCGTGATGATGTATTGACAAGAGTTGGCTTTATTGTTTGTTTCGTAATCACTGTGTTTTCTGTATGAGATTTATTTAATAATTTAAAGCGTTTTCGTCGACGTAAATAACTTCCATTTTCAAACATATCACCACATCTAAATATAATCGGATTTTCATTATTTCTCTTTTTTTTTCGACATGAAAATTTTTAATCATATGCTGAATTGTAGCAATTATCAATAAGCTATATATCACATCGGAAAAGATCAAACGACATTGTATTTGTGTGTGTGTGTATATATATATAAGTGAAAACAGAGATGCTATTCATCAAGTGTTTGACAAGATGTATGTTTCAATTCAATGACGGCTTCTGTTAGATTGAATTTATGTTTAATGATGTTTTTTAAATGATCATTTACAATTATTTCAAACATAGGCTACAAGTGGTTTGACTAGTTGCTTATTCAATTTTTAAAAAGCAAGGCCGTCGGTATTTATCTGAATTTTAACGGAAAAAAAGTTTTCTTGATACTACGCATGATCTTACTTGGTATGTAATGCCCAAAAATTGCCTTTACCAGGTCGATCAATTCGACGTGGAATCTTAATAAAACAATCATTGAACGATAAATTATGTCGTAATGAATTTTGCCATTTGTGTGTATTCGTACGATAATATGGAAATCGATCAGTAATAAACTAAATTGAAAACGATGCCAAGAAAAAAATGAAATTTCAATTGCTTCTTACCTTGTAAATATCACTGAGTGGTAACATTTTTTCTGGGCTTTGTTGAATTGCCATTGCTGTTAAAGCAATGTATGAATCTAAAGAAAATATGTTGAAATTTTCATCCTTGGTTTTTCATGACTTACACGGAGGCTTTTCGTCTGAATAAGAAGATTTGCCGGGTCGTGGCATTGTACGATGTGTTAAAAGCAAATAGACTTATCAACACATTGAATAGTAGTAACACCTGTAAACGTAAATTTGATTGGCGGTGATAGTGTAGATTTCTTTTCTCACTTATATTAACCAATCGAAACACACACAATCTTTCATCCATAAATTTGCTTGTTCGTTCGTTCTTTCTTCTTTCTCTATTTCAATCAATAACACTAACAATATACACATACATCTCATCAATGAGTAATTTTTATGTTAGACCCCCTCATGAGTGTTGTAGACTTTTCACCTGTTGTGTGTGTGTGTGTGTATGTGCTCATGTACACGACGTTTCTTTTTTTTTCTATTTCTATTCATATTCATTGATCCCTTGTGTGTATAAAAGAAAAGGCTCATTCGAACGATCAAACTAAAAAAGTCAGGAACAATATAATAAAGCATATTTGAGCAATAAAATTGTAGTAATAACAGTAGGATGAGAAGAAATACGACTATACTCTCAACTCTTCCGGATGAATGAATGAACGAATGAATAAAATAAATCTTGAGAAATAATATTTTTTTTATGCCTGCTGGGATCAAAAAGATTTATGTGAATGAAATGATTGATAGAGAAAAATAACTTGAGTAAATTGGTTGTCATTAGCAAGCAAACATTGCTATTTGTGATTGTTATTTTTAGCTTTTTCAATCATTTGTTCGTAGTGAATATCACAAATGTAATTTAGAGCTAAATATAAAACGGTATTTCGAATGAGTATATACTGATCATAGTTATTTCATAGAGTCGATTCTCTACTTTATCTAGTCGCATTCAATTAATTATTATTATAAAAACAAAAAATAGATTGTTCTTATTTCGATAATTTATGTGAGAACTAATTTTCAAGAGCGAAAGAATGATATGACCATCGAATAGTATTATATAATAATTCCATTAAAAGCTCATTTTTGATATTGTCCTTGCCTCGTTACAAAAAGGTTTCGAAATCGATCATGAATTCTTTAGAATCATAACTAATCTGTTTATTTCAAAAGAAAAAGAAAATTAATTTAATTTATATAACTTTATAATCTCAATTATTTTTTATCTACAATAATAATATCAATTGTCGTTGAATCAGAGGAGCAAAGTACAAGCCAAAATCTTCATAAAGTTTTTTTTCATTACTTTCATTGTCATTTTGTACTGAACGATAAGCTATTGTTATAAATTTCTAAATTAAACAAAAAGCATGTCTTTTAATAGAACTACCATGAAAAATGTCTTACAACAATAACTTCAGTCATTTTAAGTGATAATTCTCTATCTGATATTAATCGAACTTTTTCACCTAATTGTTTAATAAGTGGAAAAATGATTTGAATAATCACCTAAAACAAAATGCAAATCATAAAAAAAAACTGATTGAAATAAAACTAACTTTATGACTCATTTCACAAAGACCAATAAATGCTCCATATTGTGATGGCCAAGTATATTCTTCTTCGCTGCTTATTAAAATTCGATAAAAAATATCAACTGCCCTTTGTTGTAAACGATTTGCTGCAGTAGAAAATTTCCTATACAAAAAAAAACAAAGCAAACGGTAACTATTTGCCCCCATAAACAATAAATCTTATTCTCACCGTATCATTTGTGCACAACATTTTCCTGCAAGATCGCGTAATGACCAATGATCACGTGAAATTCTTCGTTCGAGTAAACAAGAAAGTATAGCTGGCAATAAATAATGTAACTAAAACGAATTAAAATCAAATCAGGTTACTCATCGATTAGAATTCATACATAAGATTCTAGAAAGATGTTTTCATTCTGTAATAATGCATCACACATGTGCAGTAGAAAATTCAATATTATGGATCGATCAAAGGTCGATGTGGGCGACAAATTTACACGTACACCTTCCGATATGAAAATAATCACACGTGAAACGACTTGTTGAAGACTATTATCCGATGAAAGAATCAATAAAGCTTGCTAGAAAAAGAAAAACATTTACAAATTGATACTGTCATAAAGAATCAATTACTTGTCGTTTTTTTTCATTTAAACAAATACACATTTCGGTCAATTCTTTATAATAAATTTGTTGTTCCTAAAAGAAGAACGAATCTATTGAATATTATCAAAAAATCTATATTTACCATGGATAGCAGCTTGCGTGATTTATTCAAAATTTTCTGTGATACTGAACGAATCGATGTATCTACAATAGGATTTTCATTTGTTATAGGTTGTTGACCATTGACTGCCAGCCAATGTGCTAGTAAATGAATAAATAATAGAATTCTTAATGTGAAATTTTTTTTTATGATCTACCACGAATGCTGAAATCAAAAGGTACTAGTACTTGACTTGTTATTGAATCATTTAATGCGACGATATTATCATCAATATGATATAAAATTCGATTGTCTTTTTTTATTTTACGAAACGATGAAGAACGATCAATATTCTTTGTTGTATAACCATATATAGGCTAGAAATATATATTTTGACGGCGATAAGAAGAACGACCTGTTTACTTTTATATGATTTAATTTTAATGCAAATGCAAAATCATCAGTTACCATTTCGTTGCGACGACATTTTCTAACAAATTTACAGCTATCCTAGAATGAAATTATTAGTGACAATGTTCGCTCTATTCGTTTAGGTTTTACTTCTAAGAGATTAAAAATAACTCGACTGATTTTTGAAGCTAGATAAACAACAGGTTCATCACATAAACATCGACCATTATTTAATTTTTCAGTCAGATATTCAATGGATTGAACTGAGAATTGTACAGACATCTAAAGATCGTATATGATAGTGATTTTCTTTCTCGAATTCTGTTTAGTTGCATTGATATCAAATATTCAAATGATTGGCTACTGGTAAACACCTCTCGTGTTTCGGTAAAAGTCTTATACGAATCAAAATAAATCTTCGACATCTGTTGTAAAAGTCAATTGATAATTTATTGAAGTCTTTCGAATGAAATAAATCTAAGAAAAATCTACATTTATATCACAATATTAGAAGAAAAGAAGAATATATTTATATCACAAAATTTCGAATAAATATAAATAGTTTTTTTAATGATTTCAATTTTCATTCCCAAAAGGCTTGGTATTCATAATCTCCTGATCCAACTTGACGAGTCATTAAACCAGTGTTGACATCATGAAAAACACTATTATCCTTACTATCAATCGACCAGATAACTTTATAGTTTTCCATTATTGTCACACATCGAGCACCGGGATACAATGGTTCGAATATAACTTGCGCTCGAGCATTCGATGGTATTGAAACTCGGAGTAAAATTGAATTGGCAAATGTATCCCTTTCATCACGTGTATATGAAACATGAACAAGCCCATACAAAGTACTTAGTTGACAATCAATTTTCGTTAAGAGATGTTTTTTATTTTCTGATAACATTCGTGGGTGAATAAGAATTAAATCCGATTGAAAATCTATACCAGCTAAATGTGAATAAAACCACGCCCCGATACTTGAAAACATATGATGATTTCGTGAATTCATTCCTGGACCTTCCATCGGTGCATCCCATAATTCCCACATAGTTGTTGCATTTTCATACGGATTATTAAACATATAACCATACGATGGATATGTGATTGTCGAAACTAATTCAACTGCTAAATCGTGTTGACCATTATCAGACAAAAGTGGATAAAGTGCTGCTGTTGATACAATGCCTGTTGATGTATGATTTCCTTTACTATTAATATCTTGAATTAAATGTTGTAAAACACTATCGCGCACATTAACTGGGACAACATTTGGTAAAGCTAATGCCAATATTTGTGCTGCTTGCATACCATCTGCATAATAACCAGCTGATGCTGTAAAAAATACTCGATGAAATTCTTCAGCTAATTGTAAATAGAATGCTGAATATGCTTGTGTATCATTAGTAAAACCGATAGCTTGAGACATATTGACCAATAATGAAACATCATGCAAAAATCCATACGATGCAATCAAATAGACATTTGTCATTCGTTGTGGTGGAGGTGGAACCCAATCGCCATAATGATAAGCAAGTCTAGCTAAACCTGTTCTATTGTAGCCTCCACGAACAGATTCAACATAAGCACGAACATGAGAATAATGATCGCGAATAATAGATAAATCATTATAATGACGATATAATTGCCATGTGATAGTTGGTAATGCTGTACCCCAATTGGGATCAGCAGGATAACCACCGAATGTTACTGGCACGGTGTCCGCTATTGAACCATCACCTAATTGGATGTCACCAATGAGATTCAGAAAATTTAAATAGAATTTGATCAAATCAAAATTATATAGAGCTTCATTGACAGTCAATGCAGCATCGCCCATCCATCCTTTTCGTTCATCACGCTGTGGACTAATAAAGAATATTAAGTTTTGTTGTCGTTGATAAAATGAATTTTTCTCTTACCAATCTGTTGGTAATGACATTGAATTACCTAATTGACCCCATTGAACATTATGTTGAATTTGATTAATGATTGGATTCGTTGAAACGAAATGTCCTTTGACTGTTGTTTCACTGTGTACAACAAGACATTCGACATCGTTCACTGATAAAGAATTTGGTGAACCAAAGACAGTTATAAAACGAAAACCATGCACAGTAAAACTAAAAATCGAAATACAAAAAATAAAATCTCAGAACGAAAAAAGTCTATACCGTGGTTCATAAATTTCACCATTTGGATCTCCACGTAATATATAACTATCAGCTTGCGTAGCACCACGAAGATTTTGTGTGTCGATACTACCGTAGGCTTGGCTAAAATAAACAATTTTATGTCTATTCAACCTATTCAGGATTATCCTACTGAGTCGAAACAACTGGTTGTGCTAATATTTCAGCATGACGAATATAAATACCAAGGCCACGTGGGCCACGAAAATGAAAACGACACCAACCAACCATATTTTGACCCATATCAAATGTATGCACACCTAACACTGGTGTTGATACACTAATCGGTTTCAATATTCCACCATCGTGTAATCGTGCACCTTGAATATCATTAAAATCTTCTTTTGATAAATAACTATTCTTCATCTCTGATGGATTTTCAATTTCAAAATGTAACGCATCAGGACCAGCACGTATTGGCGGCATATCTTGTAGAGTCATTTGTCCATTAGCAGTTATATTTACTGGCGGTGGCATTATTTCCGGTGTAATCCAAAGTGACAATGAATCATTGAATCCAACTTGAGCCCAACCAGGACGATCATATCGATTATCAACTATTTCACCATTATAAACACTATCGTGTACAATTGATCCTTGACGACCTTTCCATGTTTGATCACTATAGATTGCCATATCATCGGAATTTTCAAAAATAATATGTAATACAAATAGAAGACGAGGAGGACCTAGAAGAAATTTGAAATATTTATCGTTCAAAATTTTTGTTTCTTTTACCATAGTTAGGTTCACTAGCAGAAGGTGGTACATATTGTTCTTGACTATACCAACCATTACCTAATTTCACACCTACAGCATTCATACCAGCCTAAATAGACACGAAGCTTAGAATATATACATGTATATATGAGATTGATTAAAGAAAAACAACCTTGATAGTCGTTGTAAGATCATACGATACTAGTAAAGTTCGTTTTTCATATGTTGTCCAACCGGGATCTAATTTTCGACTAAGATCAGTACTATTTCCATTGACATACAATTCATAATAACCAATGCCCGACACATAAGCTGTCGCTGTTCGAATAGGACTATCACTAGATACATTGAATTCTTTTCTTAATTCATTCATATAGATCTGTGTTGAACCAATCCAATTGACTTGATCGTTTAGTTGCATGATATATGCATGTAAATTGAATACTGATGTTCGAAATTGTATCCATTCAGTCCATAAACTTGCTTGATTCGATAATGTTGTCCATATACGAAGTCGAATTTGATAATTCGTTGATGGTTTAAGATCATTTTTGTCTGTACATGGAACGTGAATCGATCGGCTTGAATCTATTCGGCCACTGTCCCATTCATCGATCTCAAATTTAAGCTGAATTTGATATGCCGTTTGTTGAACATTGCGCTCTGCAAAATTTGGTAATTTCCACGATAATCGGGGTCGAGGTGTGTTGATTACTAAGTCTTTTATTGTTTCAACTTTATAATGGTCAATACGAACATCGAATGGCGGTGGTATTCCTTGAGCATTTGTAATTACCGCAGTAAATATCAATGCTAAATATACCCAAGACATACTGCAAGACGAGATAAATATACTTTTTTTAGATATTTATTCGAGCGTTTTATATACCATCCAAGAGTTATCTTATCAAAAGTTCTAATCAGTTTGTTTGCTCATAATAGCAGGAAAAAAAACTAAGGTCGACTTGTATACACCCTTTTTTAATTTCAATAAGTACTACTCAAAATATGAGTAAACAATAATATCTGAACGAAAAAAATACTTAAAATCAAAACTTCACGTTAGTATTTTTAATAATCTACGATCAACATGAATTAATAATTATATTCTTACGGTTTTTTTCAATGTAAATATTGCGACTCGCATTTATTTTACTAGTTTCGACGTTCTTTCTCATTGGTTAAATCACGCCAATCGCATAAGTCTTGATTTTACCCTATGAATTTCAATCCATAAAATACGAAAAGGAGAAAAAAGTATTCCTTTGAAATGCCTGCAACAAATTCACGTTCACTTTTAAGTAAATTGATATACGTAATGAAATAAATGCATTGTCTTTCATGTTTTGTTATAATTTTAGACGCACTCAAATCTTTTTTTAAAAGTCAATACTGTCACGATGATATTCTCAAACTTTTACCAAATGATAAATCAGATATACCAAATGTTCTAACATTCACATTGAAGTAAATTCGATTGATTTCTCTATGAATTTACTCATTGAACACTTTAGTTATTGTAAATTATTGGAATATGATTTTGAATTGGCTCGACTTCTCTGGGATTTGGGATCACGAGCTCGATATTTTTTCGATAAACTTACTGAAGCATTTAAACAAGTAGCGATTGAATTATCCGATTATTCATTGGTATTTATTTTCGTATAAAAACAAAGCTTCTGGATTTTAAAATATTGTTTTAAGCCTGAAGATATAAAAACAAAAATCAAAATAGTAAAATTTGGAAGTAATCGATCCGATCTTGTTCGTTATGAAATTCCAAAGTAAATAATGGATTCTATTGATATACATTCATCTACATACGTATATTATACAGTTGTCATGACCGTGGTTATTTTATTTGTTTTCATGGGACTGTTATACGTGTTGGAACTCCTTATGTTTTCGATGCAACACGATCCTATCAATGTACGAATTGTTTTCCTTGCTAGTTTTACTCTATAGCAATTTTTCGCATAGGTGAAGAATGTGGTTCCATAGTAGCAGTAACAAAATCAAGTAATCTGGAAAAAATTAAATTAAAACCAACACGATGCTCAAATGAAGATTGTACATCAACTAAATTTGGATCATTGAAAGAATGTACGTATTTAGTTCGTTATCAAGTTCGAACAATCCATTGTAATGACATACGATCTCTGCAAACAAAAAGAATATTTTAGCTGAAGATACAACAATAAATCTATCGGATTATCGTGAAATTAAAGTTCAAGAGTCATTACAACGTGTAACATCAAATAATTTACCACGTTCATTTAGTGTTATTCTGGAAGATGATCTTGTCGAAGCTTGTAAACCAGGCGATGATGTTGCTATTTAGTGAGTGTTTATTTCTTCGTTTTCTTTTATTTAATTTTTTTCAAGAATTCAATCTGTCTTTTTTTCTTCTTCTAGTGGATTTGTTCAAGATCGTTGGCGTCCAGTACAAGTAGGTGGCCGTGGTCAAACATCTCTATGTTTAGAAGCAAATAATGTTGTTGTATTGAATGATCAAACGGCGAGTGTTTCACCACATGCTGTTAGTTTAAAAACTATCTCAATACAAAATGAAAAAGAAAAAAAGAGAATTGTTTTTAGTATGATGAATTTGAACTCTATTGGAAAGATAATCATCGAACACCAATCTCAGCTCGAAATCGTATCATAGCTAGTATATGTCCACAACTGTATGGACTCTATGTAGTTAAATTAGCTATAGCACTTATTCTAGCTGGTGGTGTAACTGTAAGTTGAAACGATTGTTGTCATAAGTAAACATAAGATAATTTAGATTTCGGATGAAAAACGTGGCATTCGTGTTCGTAGTCAATCACATTTATTGTTAGTTGGTGATCCGGGTAGGATATTTTCGAAATTTTAATTGACAAGATCACATCTTTGTTTTTAAAGGTACTGGAAAATCATTTTTTCTTAAATATGTAGCAAAAATGATGCCGCGAGCTGTACTAACAACAGGAGTTGGTTCTACGAGTGCTGGCTTGACAGCAACAGCGGTTCGAGTAAGGCTGTTGAGAGTAAAATTGAGAAGAAAATGAAACATTTTAGTTTAGGATGGACCCGGTTGGACACTGGAAGCTGGAGCTTTAGTCTTAGCTGACGAAGGTATCTGCTGTATTGATGAATTTAATACAATGAAAAGTCAAGATAAAGCTTGTATACTCGAAGCCATGGAACAACAAACAATTAGTTTAGCTAAAGTATAGAAATTTTGTTCTTCTCAAATTTTGAATGAAGTCAGAATTCTGTTTCTTTTTTTTGTAGGGAGGCATGTTACGAACATTACAAACACGTTGTTCAATCATAGCATCAGCAAATCCAAAAGGAGTTTACGATAATGAAGATCCATTGACAATCAATACTGCACTTTCATCACCATTATTGAGTCGATTTGATTTAATTCTATTGACACTCGATACACCAAATCAAGAATGGGATAATATTGCAGCAACATATATTACCGAAGGCGTTGATTTACTTGGTTTGTTTTTAATTCTGCAATAAAATTTTGACAATGTCTGATTTGTTTACCTAGGTCATGGCGCTTTGAAAAAACCATGGCCTATTACTAAAATGCGTGATTATTTTATGACGATTAAATCTGCTGAACCCATAATGACATCAGATGCTGAAACAATTATTAAAACGTAAATAACGAGAGAAAATCGGAGTATGTATTCATCGGACCTTTTTGTTTTTAGATATTACTCAGTGGCTCGGCGAGTTACTGAGAATACTGATCGACATATTACTGTACGTCAATTGGAAAGTACCGTTCGTTTAGCACAAGGTAAAAGGCAAATGTCTATTGTTTACTATGAAAATTTCTATGGTAATAATGCTTAGCTCATGCAAAATTAATTTTTTCGAAACAAGTCACTATTCTTGATGCAATTGTTGCTGTTCTATTAATGGAAGCAAGTCTCAATGGTTGTGGAAAATTATTAGATAAAATTAATGCTCTTCATACAACGTTTTCTGAACAACCAGAAAAAGAATACGAAGGACATGGTATGATAAATTAACCCTTTAAAAACAGTACTAGAATTGAACCGAGATTCTTTTTAAGTTCATCTTGTTCTTGACTGGCTTAATCTTCCTGTTTTACGTGATCTTGAACTAAACCGTATTAAGAATGAATATGATAAATCCACGGCATGGACTGAAAATGATGTGAATGAAACTCGAACGATGCCACGTGAATTTAAAAAACCTCTGACACCACCAATGCCACCGCCTCCACCTCCACCACCAACAACAGTATCAACTGGAATGGCAACTCAAGCAAATAACGCATTGAAACTTCTTAAATCACACATTGCAGAGCTAGAGAAAATAGAAGAAGTCAAATCAACTCAACGTGTTCAACAATATTCTACACCAATTACAACTAAACCGCCTGTATTCGATAATAAATTAAGCCCGATTGATAAAACTGGACCAGTAACACGCATCAACAATCAAGTACTTGTTCCAATACAGGAATATGTGGTGGACGACGAACAATCTCAAGTGAAACGATGTAAAATTGATCATGATGAAACGAAATTTAATTTACAAAAACAAGATAATAAAGACGACGTGTGTTTGAGTACGCTCGATGATATTACAGATGAAGATTTGTGTTATTGATTAATTGTGTAAACCTATCGACATATATATATATATAGATACATATTTTACCCCTATTTTACTGAATTCAAATAAAGCAAAAAAGTAAGATTTCTTGTTTTTTAGATTAACATGCCGTTTTTTATACGTAAAACAAATACCGAACCAAAAGATAAAAAAAGAAAGGTATTATTTGTTCTTTGTCTTATCTAAAAAACAACAACAACAATTTCTTCTTGTTTTCCATCAGAAATTATTAAAAGCTCAAAGTGGAAAGAAAAAATCAAAAACTTCTACTGATTTAACCAATGGTCATACAAATAAAAAAACTAAAAAACAAAAAGATGTTATCGATGAAAATGAAGAAATATTAAGTGATTCCGATTTGGATGATGATGATGAACGAGAAGCCAATGGTAATGTTCGATTAGAAAATTTACTATTAAATGGAGAACACGACGATGACGATGAAAACAATATTCATGAACAACGACTTAAACGAGCTAAGGAATACATTGAACAGATAGCAAAACAAGGTTAGACTTTGTTTGTTTCGTATAACATATGAAAATTTTGTTTTCTCTTAGAACAAGAAAGAGAAGTTGACCACGATGTTGTTTCTGACCGTCTTCGCGATGATGTGGTACGTTTTATATAAAAAACATCGATCAGTGGTTTTCTTTCTGAGTGTTTATAAAATATATGAAGAATTGAAAAATTTATATTTAGCTTGAACAAGCTGGAAAACTTCATCGTCAAGTCGCTTCAAGTGTAAGTGGAAAATAAAAATTTTAAGAAAGTTATTCCGTTAAAAATTTTCCGTTTGTTTTAGTATGCCGAACCAGTCCTTCTTCATACTTGCCGTGGTCATCAACAAAGTGTTACTTGTGTTTGTGTTTCTAATGATAGTAAATATGCATTCACTGGATCCAAAGATTGTAGTATTATTAAATGTAAGTTGGATTAAAAATTTCAAGATGAAACTAATGAAATTGTTCCTATAGGGTGCTTATTAACCGGTAAAAAACTTCATTTGATACGTCGCATTGCTAAAACTGATGATAAGAATGAACGCGCACCTATTGTTGGACATTTTGATAATATTCTTGCTATTACTATTTCAACAGATGGGCAATTCTTGGTAAATTAATCGTTTTTCTTCATTAATTTATCTGAAAATATTCTCTTAATTTTAGGTTTCTGGAGATAAATCAAATTTAATTCAGGTATGGAATCCACAAACATGTCAACATTTAAAAACGCTACGCGGTCATCAAGGACCTGTTACGGTATGTTGCTACTGTTTCAGGAAGAAAACAACCTATAGAAGAATATAATTTCGTATTTGTAGGGTCTTTCTTTTCGACGAAATTCTCATCAATTATTCAGCTCTTCTCAAGATCGATCCGTTAAAATTTGGAATTTAGATGAAATGGCTTATGTTGAAACATTGTAAGATTGAAATCATAGGAGAAAATGCTTTTTAAATATATATATATTCGATTTCATGATAGATTTGGTCATCAAGAACCAATTCAAGCGATTGATGCCCTAATGCGTGAACGTTGTATAACTGCCGGTGGTCGTGATGGTTCGTTGAGATTATGGAAAATTGTTGAAGAATCACATCTGATGTTTACTGGACATAAGTATATTTAAAAAAGCAGAAAAGCGTTTTTCAATAAGGTGATTTATGTGTTTTTCTTTCGTAGAGGTTCAATTGATTGTGTAGCATTGATTAATGATGAACATATGGTCTCGGGAGCAGATGATGGGTAAGTTATTGAAGAAAATAGAAGTTTTATGATGACTTAAGAGTACACCTGATATATATATATATATATCAAAGACATTCCTTCATTTTACCTCAGTATCGATTACAATGATTTATGGTTATACTGAAAATAGAACAAAAAAATAAAACCATAAAAGTTATCAAAATTCATAACACAAGCATTTTGCATATCAATAAAGAATGTAGTTATTATGCTTCGAAAAGAAAAATGTCTGTAGGTCACATTCTGTTATTCTTTTAATAACAAGTATTCGGTCTGATGATGAGATTTTCAATTAAAGATTTTACTTCTTAATCATTCAGTTTTACCAACGTCAACTGATAGAAGAGAACTATTTTCGCGTGCATCACTATGATTATGTTCTTTCATTTGTTTACATACTGAAAAAAGAAAATAAGTTGTATGTTTTTACATCTGAAAAACTTTCATTTCTACTATAAACCTTGATAGAGAAGTGCAAATGGATTAAGGCTTTTAGTTATAAATACGGCGTGTGTTTTCTTTGCTTTTCATACTATATATATATATATAGCTCAGCCGTGCTTGTTGACATGATTCTTGCTCTAGGGGACATTATTATATGCTGTCTAACTAATCAATAGCTATTTGAGAATGGATTCTTCAAACAATTAATCATCAAGACTTAACGTCGTCTTTCTATTGATGCATAACTTAATCGAATTGAAAAATCACTGAATTGGGCTTACAGACTATGAAGCTTTCTTTGCTAAAAATGGACTAAACGCAATAAATCTTTCATCATTCAATTCCTACTCATAGAAAATTTATTTTAATGTTTAACCACAGAAGACTATGAAATTCAAGAAGATGCATATAAAATAAGCGTTCTATTTGAAAATGAATTTTGCAGAGTTTTTGCTTGTTTTAATTGAGATCACTCTGCTTACGCAGAAGATCGAACGGTTATATTTGTTACTAAATATAACCGTACTCTTAAGTCAAATATTATTTTCTTTTTAGATCAATTGCTCTTTGGTCTGTATCAAAACGTCGTCCTCTATTCAATTTGCCACATGCTCACAAAGCAACCTCAATTGATCCATCTTTAATACCAGCATCATTGCCAGAAGACTTTTGGATAACTTCATTGGCTTCACATCGTTATACTGATTTACTTGCATCAGGTTCATTCAATGGGAACATTCAATTGTGGCAATCAACACCAGAATTCAATCATCTAACACCACTTTTCACTTTAGCACAAGTAAACGTTTTGCTTTTAATTTTGATTCAAATTATTTCTGATTTTTCTAGCTTGGTTTTGTTAATGATCTCAAATTTTCATCTGATGGTAATTATTTAATCGTTGCTATCGGCCAAGAACACCGACTTGGACGATGGTGGACAGTTAAATCAGCTAAAAATGTTGTACTCATTTATAAACTCGACAAGAAATAGGTAGTCGTCGACATGGGTGTCTTTGTTGTTGTTTTTTTTTGTGTTTTTTTTATTCTGTTATTTTGTGTTCTGATTACACAAAGGAGATCAATCGGTTAAATTAAAAAGAAAAAAACCTAAAGCATCTAAGAAGACAAAAAAATGATCGAAAACGTTTTGTTCTTATAAATGATTACAAATAATATCCCGACCGATGCCACGTAAAACCAATGCACGGAATTCGTCGAAATTCATGTTTTCATCGGTGTCTTGATCAATTTTTCGTATATAATTTAGTAGAGCTACATCATCGATTGATTCATTTAATATAGGTAAAAAAGAGCCTAGTTCATTGACATGTATTTTACCAGAATGATCACGATCTAATATATTAAATGCACGTTCAAGTTCTTCACCGGCATAGAAACCCAGTATAAATGGCCGTAAAACAATCACGAATGAATCGAATGATAATGCATTCTTTTGACGACTTGAAAAATTTTTATATTGATCACGGGTTATTGTTGCATCATAGGAACGACTTCGTTTTTCTCTATTTTGTCGAGCCATGCCTGCTGATGATGTTGTTTCAACAGTTGTGGTTTCTTCAAATTGATAATCGAGTTGAACAACTTGACCACGTCCATCCCGACTTACGATTTCTGTGACTGTGTATTCAAGATCCATCCTTTAATATTAGTTTCTATAATATAAAGAAAATGAATTTTTTTCACCAAATAAATATGTTGTACAGCCGTGAAAAAAGAATTTATGCTTATGTCCTACTAACACTTTTCTTGTAATGGTTGATACTACTTACTATTGCCTACACTGTTTGAATAGATTATCTCAGGAAAAAAATGACGATGCCAAATTCCTTTACTGAATTGTAGTATGTGCGTCTACACGGTCCTTTTTATTTATGATACCTTCCATAAATCATATTGACTGACGTAAAGTACAATAACAAACACTTCACCGGGGGGGGGGGGGGGGGGGGGGGGGGGGGGGGG